TGTATACACTTGGCTTTATATTAATGCTTCAGGGTTTTAACTTAACCATAATCGCTCTTAAAGATCAGAGACTAATGGATGTATCTACATTATATCAATAGAGACAGACACTGGAAACATTTCAGCACTATTATAATTAAAATATTTTTTGAAGCATGACATCAATCTCTGTGGATTATCTTTTCAGTCGTAAAATCATTTTATATTCACTAAAAATAACGGGAGCACATCCATGCCCTGACCACACAATTGTTTTAGGGAGGGGAAATGAGACAGGCTAGGATTCCATTCTGAGCTCACTGCTCCTGTATCTGAAGGCTGCTGGCCTCACCAACACGCCACCAACACCTGTGCTGCTTCTTTATTTGAAACTAGGAAAATACTGCTGCACTTAATGATAAATGACCTTAAAATGTGGAAGTATTTTTTTAATTTTATAACTCCTAAGTTGAACTCTGATAAATATTAACAAGATTGAATAAAATGACATTAAGGGGCAGGACAGAGAACGACAAAAGTTGCTAAAACAAAGCAACTTTTTCTAGGAAGTCCCATATGACTCGAGAGTCAACATGAAAATGGGATGTCTTAAGTCAAATGTGTAGACTTAGAATGTAACTAGATTGCCCATTTTGGGTTAAAAGGTAGGTTGATCATATGTTTCTATCTCCTTTCAATCTCAAACCCTGCTAAAATGAAAAAAAAAAAAAAGCTGGGAGGGGGGATATTCTTTGGAATATCATTAACCCACAGAACAACAAGAATGGGCTTGGCAACAACAGAGGATGAAATATTCCAATAAATGTGTGGCAGATGGGAAGCAGATAAAGATGGTGTCATATTCAGCAGAGCAAAAATCCCACCCATGTGTCTAGAGGAGGAAGGCTAAAGGGAGCTAACTTACCCTGCAGAGCCCAGGGTGCCATCCAGGAGAGAAGAGAAGCAAAAAGCTCAATACATGGAATTGAGATCAAGTTCCCAGGTGCCCTCCCACACACACACAGCCAGCAAATCAAGCACCCTCTGCCACCAACAGAAAATATTCATTTTTCAAAGAAATAAACCAGCAAGGAACCAAGCACAGGAGAAGTCAACGAAAATCTATAAACTGAATGTGGTTCCCTGAGCCCCGTTTTTCCATGCTGCTCCCAGAATGACAGCAAACAGGTGCACATACCCCCAGGCAAGATACTCAAAGAGTATTCTCTAGGAAAAAAAAAAAAAGTTTAGAAACTGATTTTGGAGTCTTCAAAGAAAAATGTCCATTTTACTGTAATGAAGGCCACCAGATGACAGCCTCAACTGGAACTCACAGTGCTCTGACAGCCTTTCTCATGCTTTCCTCAAAATTACTAAAGGCCAGCCCAGGGTCACAAGACAGTTGAGAAAAGCCCCCAGCCAGAAAGAGAGATAATAGTAAGAAGGAACAAAATGTGTATATATACTTCTACTTAGTGTTATATATGTATGATGTGTGTGTGCGCACATATATATACACACATGTATATACACACACACGTATATATACACATACACACACACACACACACACACACACACACACACACACATATAGCCTCAGAAGATAAACAATTCAGGATGCTGAAGAGAAAATGTCTATGTTACCCTGAGAGAGAATTAAAACCAAGATTCCATAAAAATAAAACATATGAGAGAATTTTTGTAAATTAAAATATAATAAATTTAATATTCAATTGAATGAAAAATAAGTTGAAGAAATAACTCAATTACTTCAAAGAGACAAACAGTTAAAAACTAAGAGAATTATTTTTTAAATTAGGAGATCCTTTTGTACACACGATATCTGAGACTAAAAAGAATTCCAAAAATGAAAACAGAGAGAGCAGAAGGGAGAAAAGTGGTGAAGAAATAATGCAGAAAATCTTCCCAGGACTGAAGTTTTAAGTCTCCAGACTGAAGAGCACATCTAGCTACAGACACATTTAATTTTAAAGGCCCATCCAAAGCCGTGGATAAAGGGAACATTCTGAAATTTTCCAGAGTGATAAAATAGCTCACGTATCAAGAAACAAGCATCAGAAGAACACTGGATTTTCTGATAGCACAACTAGATATTAGAAGACTGGAGAAATGCCTTTAAAACTTGAGAGAATAAAACCTTTCATCTGAGAATACTACACCAAGCCGAACTACTAGTCAAATAAAAGGGTCCCATAAAAATATTTGTAGCAAGCGAGCATCCAAAAAACATAACTTCCAAAGCACTCTTTCTTAGAAAGGTACTAGAAGACATACTCCAGCAGAGCAGGGCACTTTACAGAGAAAAAGACACAGAACATAAGACACAGAGTCTACAGTCCGAAGGTGAACAAATAATAGCTCCGTGACAACGGCTGTGCAGCAGGCCTAAAGGGAAACCCAGAGTGCACTCCAACAAGCAGCTGCAGGAACGAGGAGTCCAGGGAGACAGAAGTGGGAGCACTAGTTTGACCATGTGGAAGTGGTACGGAGAGGGCTTTATAATTCTTCTGGAAGATTTGAAGAAAAGTAAATGATAGGTACAAAGAAAACCAGGAAGACAAACAAAAAAGAAGGCAATCCTTAACCCTAAGAAAAGCAAAACAATCTATAAGAAAGGATAGGTAAGCAACATTGAACAGTAATTACATGGCGATAACAGTGTAAACATTGAATATTGACTTAACATAGAATTCTGCTATAACTGTACTGGCAGGATGGTAGATGGGGAAGAAGAAGAAAGCAAACGAAATTTTCACCTATTACAATAGAAAACCAAATACCATAAGAAAAAGAGTAAAAAGTGGAAAAGTGGCTGTTTTGTGAGAACAGAACTAGGGGTTTCAAAGGAGTGGGACGTAAAACTGTTTTTCTCTATAAGCTTTTTATTTTGCAAACTGTTTGGGTGTGTGATAATGATTAAGGGAAGTAAATATAAGTTTAGAAATAAAAACAGGCTAACGCAATAAAAGATTAAGCTTAGTACATTTCAATGTAACGAAAGGAAATGATTACAGCTAATCTTCATAAGAAAATAAAATGCAGAGCTGGCTACTGCTCAGAAAATGTGGCCTGAAGAGCCTTTAAGAAGGATTAAACATATTTGTTCTGTTTTGCATATACATAACTATATTATATATGTATATATGTACTATTTGCTATAAAATTAAAACACACAATTTATAATAATCTTTACTAACTGAAATTGACATATCTGCATATAAATAAATTGTAAAAAAATTTCAGGAAATATAAGTTCAGTTTATAAAAAGAGAAAGCATAAAAAGCCTCAGGTAAACAAAGTTATAATTAATTTCAAATGATTAAGCAAATGAGTATCCAAGATAAAGATTCACAGTTATTTTGTCTCTCTTTTTATTTCACAATGCATTGGCTTGGAATTATTTCCAAGTAGCTTTGTATTGAAGGTTATCTAGAATTTCTGCTGTAGGTTGTTTTTTTTTCAACAAATATATTAGTATGATATTCTACCAAATTTGGATGGTAAATCTTATCACTGTTCCTGACCACATGTTGTTATAGCAAATGTGTACATTTGGAATTGCCTCCATGAGTACTTAAATTCTAAAACGAAGGGACTCAGCTTTAGATGCTGTCATACGTTGTCATGTGACATCGATGACATCTCCACATCAATAATGTTTATGGCAGCAGTCTCCAGCACCGGGTTTCTAAGGCAACCCAATGGGTGGACGGTGGGGGTGGGGGCAGCAAAAATATTAAGACCTCTATTTTCATTTTGTAATGTATTTCTTTACAATTTATTTCCGTTGACTTTGTTATTTACTATAGAATCTTTGTTCAGTAATATATGTATAGAATTTATAAATAAGCCTATATGTATTCTCAAAAGTATTTTATTGCTGGGATGTTATGATCAAAAATATTTGGAGACTGCTGATTTAGGAAGGTGTCTCCCTAATGGTAGTTAGCGAACCATTAAAGTCATGAGAGCAACACAAGCGTTCATGAGGCAGGCAGGAGAAAGCTAATATGTCATCCTAAGCTAAAAACTTAATTTCAAGTTATGATTAAGAATTAAACAACTGGGAAGAAAAAATAAACCTTCTCATTTGCAAAATTTTATCTAGCATTAAGCCTACCTGCTATAGATGAAAAAAATTATGATAAAAACTCTATGTTAAAATATACGAATGGCTAGAGGTTTTATAGCCCTCCATATGTACATTTGTCACTTATAAGGCACAGACTATAGTAAAATGGTTCAAAACAATGTGCTCATGTGGTGGTCAAAAAAGCTTTTGTTGATGAGGCAGTGTTCTACAGTAAGAAAAAAACCTGAAAACCATTGATTTTGGAAGTAAATACTTAAGTATTCTAAGAGTACTTCACTCTCTCATATGGGCAAAATATAGTTCAGTCATTTAGAACTATACTAGTCACTGTCCAGCATGGTACCCACTTATCACATAGGAATGTCTAAATTAAAATTTAATAAAATTTGGCCACGTGTGGTGGAGTCACGCCTGCAGTCCCAGCACTTTGGGAAGACAAGGTGGTGGATCACATGAGGCCAGGAATTTGAGACCAGCCTGGACAACACTGTGAAACCCAGCATCTACTAAAAATACAAAAATTAGGTGGGCGGGGTGGTGGGTACCCAGAATCCCAGCAACTCGGGAGGCTGAGGCACAAGAATCACTTGCACCCAGGACGTAGAAGTTGCAGTGAGCCAAGATCGTACCACTGCACTCCAGCCTGGGCGACAGAGCCAGACCCTGTCAAAAGAAAAAAAGAAGAAGACGAAAAAAACATTTAATTAAAATTTAAGATGTATTTCCTCAGTCACACTAACCACATTTCAAGTGCCCAATAGCCACATGGGGCAAGTGGTTACCGTACTGGACAGTGTAGATAGAGACCATTCCCATGAGTGCCAAAAGTTCTGTTGGACACGACGACTCTAGAATAGTATTCCACAATTCTTTAGTTAAAAGTTTAAAAATGTTTATACTTACTAACTGTTACTTTGTCCTTATCCCCCAACATAATGTTGTTTGGTGTCAGATCTCTATGGACAATCCTCTTCTCCTTGTGTAAGTATCGAAGAGCTAAGCACAGCTTGAAACAATGAATAAAAACATATTTTATTTCCCACAATGTACATAAAGCCAACAATGATTACTGCACATGTCTCTAAGAAGCCAGCTCAGAGCTTTATTGTTTTAAGAAAAATTTAGTGAAGCTAAAAGCGTACCTGTATAAATATTTTCCATAGTCTTTCTTCTGTAAAATGGTGCTGTTTCTCCTTCAAAGAACTGAAATGCTCTCCAAGCGGGGCTCCTTCTATAAGCTCCATAACTATGTACAACCTATCATCTATTCAAATATCACAAAAGGCCATAGAGATTTAAATCAATACAGACACCTTGAAATATTTTATGAATGAGAGTTCAAGCTTCCCAATGTCTGTGCAGGACACTAACACTAAAGGATTAGGGGTGATGTGCTAAAATACAGAGCCTCTCAGCCCCAGAAGAGGTGAAGGTGAGGGGGTCTTAGGAAAACTGCGACCCAGCAACAATATCTTCTGGCTACAGGCAATCCCTTAGCATGAGTTTATACTGGCAAATATTATCATTTTCTATGTATGCCAGGATGTGGAATGACTGAAAGGCACCACAGAGAACAAGCAAATGATCTCCAGTCACGGAGGATTCCCTGAAGAACATGTAAGCCCATCCTTCCTCCCAATGATTTGAAATTTAGCCTCAGATCAAGTCAGACGTTCAGAAAATTGCATTTTCAACTGCATTGTTTCATATTGTGATAGATTTACTTTACAGAATTTTACACTGGAATGATTCCACGGTTTTGCAATAACACAGTTGAAAATAACACACATGAGAGAAATTTCTGTTATATCTTTCAAGAGCAAAAAAAAACAAAGGAAAAGAAAACTGGACTTCTCCAGGTTTTATCTTATAGCTACGGAGAATTTCATGACTCTTTGTCTTTTTGCTTTGGATGCCAAGAAACAAAAAAGTAAATTCTACTTCCTCCTGTAAAACCAATAGGATTTATTAACAATGGTATGTGATATGTGTCTTCTGAAACTTTGGGATGTATATAAAATATGTGTGTAGAACATATTTACAAAAACGGAATCATACCAAAAATGTTCTGCAATTTATGCTTTTTTTCATTAAGCAGCCTTATATTTCAGTGCACACAGATCCATATCATTCTTTCTGCTGGCTGTATGGTTTTGTACAATATGGGTATATCATAATTTATTTAATCATTCTCCTACAGATAGACATTTATATTGTTTCCAATTTTTTCAGAATTTCAAGAAATATTCTTTCATGTACCAATATTACCTCTAGCTTTACTTTCAATTTTCTCATCCTTCATTCTTCTTTATTACAATTTCCTAATCTATTTCATCATATTTTTAAGCCATTTCCTTTTTTTTTTGGGGAGCAGGTAGTATAAAAGTTTTTGTTTTTTATATTAAGACAGGTTATGTCACTTCAGTACAAGTCGGAAGCCAACCTTGATCTTTTTTGAAGGGATATGCACTAAATTACAGAAAATTATTCTAATATCAAAAATAAATGAGTAAAGGGGACAGAATTTACTGCATGAGTGTTAGCACTGAGTTTTTCTGAGTCATCTAAGGGAAGGGAGATGGGTAAAATCATAACAAATGCCAAAGTCACATACAAGAGATTTTCTTAAATAACAATAGCACTGATAAAGAGGTAGCCTGGAAACCCCAGTCATTGCCTTGTATCTCTTTCATTCTTCAAGTGGAGATTTATTTCGATATTTGATATACGACACATATCATTAAAGTTTATCAATACTTATATTATTTCTGTCATAGGCCCTATTTAAAAAAAAAAAAAAAAAAGAGCAGCTGAGTTTAGCTTTATCTCAATGTTTTGGTTCTAGCTCAGCATTCCATCCTGCAGAAAGCAACCCTGCCTGCCTGCAGAATCAGTCTAGGCTCCATCGCCACCTTGTGGCATTTATCTGAACTTCAAGTAAAAGACATCTCAAAGACCTAGCTCTCGCCAACTTACTCTGGGGAGGGAAAATGTCACGTGAGTCAGCAAAAACAACTTTCTTTTCTTAAGGAAGCTTCATCCTTTAGTTTTCTTTTTTCCTGATCCTATTAAGTGATTTTTTTGTATATGAGAATGACAATAACTCTTTTGGTTTGTTTATGTGTCTTTCACACGAGCTAAGTATTTTACAACTATCTTTAGGTCACTGATGAGATCACTGTTTGAGTAGTCAAGAAAGCGATCCTTAAGATCATCTACTGTCATCTTAACAAAAAATGTCAATAAAATAGTTGATCAGGTTTCTTTTGTGACATTCTAATATACAAAAATAAACATGACAAAAAACTTTTATTTAGAAATATCATGAAAACTCATACTTACTTTCCAGAAATGTTTTGTAATAACGTACAATGTTGGGATGATAAAGCTATGAGAAAATAAATAACAAACATGTATTGCACTGCTTCAAAACACAGTTTTTTCACTGACTACGCAGACTTCATATTTGAAAAGTACAAAAAATTATATTTCTTTACAATTTAAGCATTTCAAGATATCATCGAATTGAAATTGTTGTGATTTTTTAAAACCTGTGGCTTAAAAATCAGTCTGAAAATACCAATCCTATATGGCTTAAACAAAATTTAAAACGTTCTATCACCTACTTTACTACCTAACTTAGCCAAGAGAACTATAGAGGTAGAAGAAATATTAAGAATTCCTTTAGCACTCCTTGCCACAATCCCACACACAGACTATATAAAGGAGAAAAACAAAATGAGGTAACTTCTGTTGACTATAAATATTCATTGTTCTTTATCTCTCCCTACCACCTAAACATTTATGTAGAGTTTGTGTCTATTAACACCATTCCTTTATATGCTCTCCAAAATGATTAGTAGGAAAATGACATAATCTAAGAGTTAACTCAGTTTAAATCATAATAACAAGCGACAAGGATTTCCTCCTTAAACAAACTTTAGTCAGGCTCCTCTGAGTCCTCCTGGTGACTAGGCCTCATCCCTGGTCTGTCAGTTTTAGCAACTTGTATCCTGCTAAGTCAGTTTATGGAAAAATCTCCCACCCTTGACATCCAATTAAGTTTCTCACCCACTCACCCTTGATATCTAACCAAGTTCCTCTTAGTAAACTTCCACTCACTGACCCCCTCACCCTGACCATTGGCTCTGAGCCCCTAGCTGTCCTGTCCTTATATTCAGAGTTGGGTTCAATCTTTCTCCTCTATTACAATAGTCTGACATCTATTGCAATAGTATCGAATAAAGTCTTCCTCATCATTTTTAAAAAGTATCTAGTGCAATTTCTCTTCAATAAGTTAAGGATGTGAGTGGAATTTCTAATTTTTTAATTTAAAAAAGATCATTTGCTAGAAGAATGCTAATATTTTGGTAGTTTTTGCTTCTAATTTGAGTTTCTAGATGAAATTTGTCTTAGAACAGTCACCATCACATCAACAAATGGCTTGCTGACATCTCTCTTCAGTCTTTCAGAAAGACTTTTTGCAGGGAGATTGCTAGCTGTCCACCAAAAACCTGCTGTCCCCCTGCTCCACCGCAATACAGTTGTAGCTGGTCATGGCTTCCCAGTTAGAGAGGACTTCTCAGTCTCCCTTGAAGCCGGGGTGAAGCTACCACTCAGATCTGACCTATGGGAAGTAAAAGCAAGCCTGTGCGCTTCCTGAGTGAACTCTACACATTAGGAATAGCCCTCCATGCTCCTCCTCATCCCACCTCGGATGTGATCGTGGCTATGGCAGTTTCAACCACACAGAAAAGGACAATGTGCTAGGAGATGACAGCACAAGAGGAGAGGGAAAAACCTGCATTCCCAAACAATCCCAAGGAGCAGAGAACACTACCAACCTGGTTTACTCACTTTGGCATTGTTCTGTGAAAGAGAAACAACCCACTGCCCTGTGAGGCCTCTTTTTAAGCACTGCATTTTGGATGGTTAAGCTTAATGTATTCTCCCGTTCTAGTCCCATTTGTTTCGCTTCTGCCTGCCACTACCTCCTCCTTTAAGGACTCAATATATCCTCCTTTCCATCCGTTCGACCCTCTAGTGAGACAGCAATTTTGAGTTACCTCGAAGCCCAAGCACATGCCTCCTAGCTGGCCCTAGTCTGATAGTGTCTTTTCTTAGGAAATGTGCTAAAACAAATAATCTACTTCATCATCTAGGAAATGGCCAGCAGATTTTAAACAATATGGTGCCAGGTAACCAGCCAAAACCATATTCTGGACCTGGCTTACCCGCAAGGACTATAACCATATTTGGGTCCAAATGTAAACACTGGACTGGCTTAGGTCAAAAGCCCTGTTCTAGCCTTGTGCTACAACAAAAAAAGCACACTATGGAAGGCTAGATGACCCTACAATGAATAAACACATGAACAAACTTTTTAAAGCCTAATGTATGAGTATATAAAAGTCAACTATAAAATAAACTGTTAGTGATAATATTTACTATAATATATAAACTGGAGTAGCACTATTGATTTTGATGAACAAAGGTCACCGTATTTATGGAATTCTTTACGTCCCAACACAGATGCTCTGCAAATGTGACTAGCGGAGGACAAAAAGCAGCGAAGCTGATAGCACCACAGGAATTATAAACGAACAGTGTTTGTCATGAATGTGCAAATAAGGAAGGCTGAAAAAGAAACCAATGTGTTTTTGGATCACACAAAGAAATCCCATTTCTCTTTGAAATGTTTATTCTTCCTTCTCAAACAAACTTTCATAATGAGAGTTAATTGAGCTGTTACATTATGTCAGAGTATTCTGCACATGCCAATAAATAATAACCCATCTTGAAAAATCTACATTTTAGATTTAATAAGCTACATTTGAGGAATGTTAACAGCTTGGTTCCTCTTGAAAAAAGTCAGGAAACTCTTAATCGTGTTTCTATGTATGTAACCAAGTAACCAAATATCCTAAAATATAATGAGAAAATAATAGATATGCTCACAATGAAAATAAAAGGATTTCTCAGATCTGATGCATTCTGTGCCATAAATACAATTGTTTTGTATCCATGACCCGATAGAAACTCCAGAAAGTGTTTTTATGCTTCAGTGTCAAGGCTTAGGAAAAAAGCTGGCAAAAATATCACTGCTTCAATGTCAATTATTTCACATAGATCTAGTTCATAAACAGCATGGACAAGAACAGCACCACAACTCTACTTTCTTGCAATGACATTTATTTAAGAAAAACATCTCCAGAAACAAGAAAAACACTTACCTGTTCTTTTATTATTGTTAATTCAGAAACAATATTCCTTACGCTGCTGTCTCGATCCTTCTTATCCTTTCCAAATGCTGGGTTATGTAAATTGACCTCTTTCATTGCTAAAAGATTTTGACCACTACGCTTTCTAACCTAAAATAAAGAAGAAAAACAACAACAACAAAAAAGGAACAGGGTAAAGAAGGTGAAGGTAGAAAGGGGAAGAAAGAGAGAGACTTACAAACTCACATGAGTAACTTAGTCATATAAATAAGTCACAGAGCATTTAAAGTACCAGCTGTATTTACATTAAGCTCAGCTCAAAACATTGGTATCTCCTGGGTCCATCTGCATTACTTAGTAGCGTTTTTTAATTCAGAGATTGTGTCATGCATTGGGACAAGCTATTCTGAATATTTTTGAGAGAGATTAGTAATGCCTTTTGTCTTAAAAAGTCAGTGGCCAATTTCTAGAGCTGACAGCTAAAACAATATTAGTGTGGCCATCTCTATCTGTGTGACAAAAATAATCATTCTGATTTTCGTGTCTATTTGTTCACTATTTTTCTATGGCAAAAGTTCCAATTCAATTGAGTACGGGTGTGCAAGTGTGACGTCCGGTTTGGTTGGGAGCATCAGAAATGTTCCCCGAGGGGAAAGTCACCTTGTAAACACAGCCAAAAGCTCCACTTCCAAGATGATCCAAAATCGCGTAGTTGCCTATATATTTCCAAGGAGCTTTGTTCTGATTAATGCTCTCAATATTTTCAGCAATCTGCTTCAGTTCATCCTCCTAATCAAAATAGAAAAAGGAAATGTGTTCCTGTGATAAATTCCATCCTGACTGCATAACAGCATGCCAAAATATTGAAAACTCTGGACTTACCACTAATAAATTCAACTTTGATACCAATTCTTCATAAGCACTGATATCACGTACATAATGTCCTATGTCAATGAAGATCTCAAACAAGTCTGTGGGGAAAAGTCTACAGAAAAGATTACACACACTTAACGTAGAGCTTGGATACTTCTGGCCATTACTTCCCTTTTGAATGCAGCTGACTCGCTGATTAATTACATGAAACAAATGTAACTGCTTTTGGTTATCAACAAAGTTGGGAGAATAATACTCCCCAACTTGTCTTGAAAAAACACACTATTTACAGTTTTTGAGGGATAAGAAAAATACAAATGGAGAAGAAAGTTCTAGAAATCTGCTGCACAGCCCTGTGCTTATAGTCAACAATAATGTACACTTAATGTTTGAAGCAGGTAGATGGCATGTTAATATTTTTACCATAATTTAAAATTAGATATGATACAGATTATACAAAAACCTTATTTGTAAGATATTTGGGGGTATAAGTATTGAATATATTAGAAGAAAACGATGATTGGGTGTTTTCTGAGTGTGGAGTACTTTCAAGTCATTTGACTCAGATTTTAGTAAGAAGTAAATACTAACCCAACTTTTAAATGTTTTATGAAAATAAAAATACTGGTACATGAAAAATAAAGAGATTCATTCATCATTCCCAAGACACTGGTTTCAAGAGCTTTTAAAATATTTGAGTTCACTAAAATGGATGGTTTGGAACTTTGAAATGAAAGATTATAAAGAATAAGTAGCTGGGTGCAATGGCTCACGTCTGTAATCCCAACACTTTGGGAGGCTGAGATGGTGGATCACCTGAGTTCAGGAGTTCAAGACCAGCCTAGCCAACATGGTGAAACCCCGTCTCTACTGAAAATACAAAAATTAGCCAGGCATGGTAGTGAATGCCTGTAGTTCCAGCTGCTCAGGAGGCTGAGGCAGGAGAAGCAACAGAACAAGACTGTGTATCAAAAAACAAACAAACAAACAAACTAATTTTACTTTATTTTTCCCGAAATCCAAGCATCTTATAGAAATAAAGTAACATCAAATGCTCCATGCTTTCTGCACTTGATCTCAGCCAAAAGGCCAAAAAGCAATGTTCCATGCTTTCCGAAAAAACAAACAACAACAAAAAAACAGTATATTAACTCAATACTTTATGTCTATTCTGCCTAATCAACAAAATTTTAATAAAAACTTGGGCCTATGATTTTGGCTAATCCACCCAACTAGATGGTGTGCAGAACACCATTGAGAGAACCAGTGTTTTCTTCCCAAAATGGTGACCTTTTGGTCAGGCTCAGCAACACAGTAACTTCACCCCAGAACATCCAGCCTCCCCTTCAAAGGAGTTCCTACACTATCAAAGACATAGAGAAAAATAGTTTGTTTTCCCTTTGATTAAATTCCCTTTGATTAAAAAGGGAAATTACAAGATTGACTTTCAAATTTCTAACTGGACAAAAACAGGCTGATATTTTAATGTCATCCTTTTAAAATGTTAATATCTTTTATTACCAAAAAGAAAACTAAAATCATAGTAGTCACGTGTAATCAAGGAGAGTTGTATTGATGTAGTGATTTATGCTCTTTCATCATCATTCTGTTAACATTCAATGTGACCAGATACGGAATCACCACAGTAGCTCACTTATATCAGTGAAATAAGAAATTTGAAGACACATGGTTTGCATACTGATGCATTACTTTCCCTCTGTTGCATCTAAACCAAGTATGTGAAAACAGTTCTATCTAACGAGCTCCTAAATCTAATGATCACTTATATTTCTCTTCATACCTTTTAAAGACTGGTCTGTTTCTTTCCATACTGAAGAGAAACCTCAAGGCTCTGAAAGCATAACACTAGAATATAAAAAGATATGTGATTCTTAAATGGTAGCTCAACAAATTAAAACATTTTCAGGAAAGAATTAACAGGAAGTAAACATTAACGTGACTTTATTGTATGTGGCTGGCCCAAGCTGGAGCCAAAGCTTATAGGTGAAAACAAAAAGCACCAACACCTGGGGTAATTCCCGTATTTAAAAAGTGTTTATGTTGTAGAATGCTAGGAATATTGGCCTTGCTTCACTCTGTACTCATTAATTTCTTTCTAGAAAGTACAAAATGAGTACAGAGACGAGAAATAAAATTCCAATGCTGAGAAAACCAAAGGTCTAAAGATTTCCAGGAGCTCAACGTTTATTTTGTTTCTAGCTTGCTATGTATACCTCAATATTTATATGGTTTCTGTGAGAAAATAAACACTAGAAATGATTACATATAAAAATAGCCACAGGCACACTGGACTCAAACTTGACAAATTGGTCTCTTGAGTAAAGAGTCTTAAGCACTCCCCAAATAGACAATCTGCAGTAACTCCCTAGAACACTCAGAAAGAGGCCTGCGAGTCTTTAGCTAGGAAAAATAAACATCTGACATTTTGCAATACTGGGAAAAAAAGAACGTGCCCAGCCTGCAGCTGTGCCTGCACAATAGGCCACCATTGGAGTGATCAGGGTCTGCTGAATCAAATCTCGGATCATTTCCTAAAATCAGTGCTCTCAATACAGAAGGGTCCCAAACAAAATTGCCCAGAGAGATGCGACTGATAACAGAATGACATGAAGAAGCCAGGTGAGAACAGTGGAGACTGTGAGGTACGGAGAGCATGCAAACTCCTCAAAAGCCCTTCAACTGGAATAAAAAAAAAAAAAAAAAAACTCCTACTGGCTTAACAAAACGTATCTGCAGGAGGGATCTGTCTTTATCTGTGTACCAGCACAGCGGCATACATCTGTGATGCACTGAAGAAATCAAGTCTCATGCCTGCACCTTCTCATTGGTAGCTCTCCAAAAACCCCTGCCTGCCAGCACAGAGACACCCCCAAAGAATTTGCTAGGTTTGGCCATCATTTTGGAGGATAACTCTTCAACCAGATTACAGACAAAGATTGTTTTTTCTTGCTTTTCGAAATGACTTGGGGAAAAAGATGAGCTGCAACTATGGCAAAGGCTTACTTTAAATCAGATTTTGACATTAGGGACCCTGCTCCCCGCCCCCACCTGCCAATACCCACTCCTCAAAAATGAACATAGAACCCTGCATAACTGTTCCCCTTTCTTACATGTGAGGCGTCATCTCCTGGAGCACTGCCTCCCGCAACTACACACCCCAGCCCCACTGAGCAGCTAACCCTTTCCTCAGCACACTCTAAGCTCACCGCTTTCACACTTGGTGCATGCTGTTCCCTCTGCATGGAATGCTCTTCCACCCTGCAGCAGACGCCACTGGTGCTCCACCCAATACCCCTCATCTACTTGGCAAGTCCCTTCTCACCCATCGAGATCCATGATGGCAAATAATTTTCCCTGTTATTATATTCTAATACATAAGAAATGCATTTTTTAAAAAACAGAACTTATTGATAAGCAAAGAAACACATAAATAAATCACCTAATTCTCCCATGGGCACCGAGAAACCACTGTTAAGCCTTCTGCATTGTTTTAACATTATTTGGTTCCATGCCAATCCCCCTCACCAGATACTTTTCCCTCGTGGTCAGTACAGAGACGTGTACTAACCTATAAATTCTAAAGAATCATAGATCATTTTACCAAAGGTACCCCAGATCTCAATAACTTGATATTGCAGGATATAGATATTTTTATTACCTGTAATAGATTAGTTTTTGCTGCATTCTTTTGTTTATTTGGTAAAATTAATTTTGCTATTGTATATACACCATTTTCCTGAAAGAATAAAGGGCCATATTATGAGTAGTGATACATGAGCATAAAGAGAAATTAATATCAAATAAGAAATGTTAGTATAACTTTGGGCCTTGAAGTAAACATTACAGGACAATATTTAAAAGGTCAATGTAACCCCTTTTTTTTTTTTTTTTTTTTGAGACAGAGTCTCACTCTGTCACCAGGCCAGCGTGCAGTGGCATAATCTCAGCTCACTGCAACCTCTACTTCCCAGGTTCAAGCAATTCTCCTGCCTCAGTCTCCCAAGTAACTGAGACTACAGGTGTGCACTACCAGACCCAGCTAATCTTTGTATTTTTAGTAGAGATGGGGTTTTGCTATGTCGGCCAGGATGGTCTCGATCTCTTGACCTTGTGATCTGCCCACCTCAGCTTCCCGAAGTGCTGGGATTACAGGTGTGAGCCACTGTGCCCAGCCCACATAACACTTTTAAACACCAAAGAGTGCAACCGCAATCTTAAAATTTCAACTGTCTGTGGAGAGTCAAGATTATTATAAAGTATATAAGTGTAAAATGATTCAAATGCCTTAAAAACAAAGAATGAGAGATTAAAAAGGGACAGAGTAAAGGTGTCCCAATATCTTAGATTTATATCTTTAATATTTATTTATGTCCCCAATTGCCACAACCATAAAGGGAGAAATTATATTTCATAGTTATTCATTTATTTATCTTTATTATAATCTTGACATCTTTCTAGGTTTTTTTAATTGAACTATACATGTGAAGGAATAAACAAAAAATATTATCCTACAGCTACCTTTCTATTACCTAGTAAATATATAATTTACTGACCTTTACTGTGTGCAGGCATTCATATTATAACTGCAAAGAGCTTTATTTGCCTTTTGCATCTAATCTCTGTAGCAACTCTATGAAATTAGTCTATAATTTCCCTGTTTTATACATGCGAAAACCAATACTTAGGGTGGATACATCATTTTTTTAGAAGCCAAGCCAGCAAGGAATAATCCCAGGAATTGAACCTCAATCTGGCCACCCCAAATGCCCTGCTCTCTTCAGCCCCTGATCTGCTGAGTTTCTCTTATGTCCGAATTTAACCATTGATGACCTGATCCCTTTCTGACATTGATGTATTTTGAAGTTGGATAGTGTACTGACACACACAAAAAGATTTTCTCTGTAAAATTCAGTGAGGTGGGGGTAACTTTTGCAATAGATACTCATACAAGGGTGGTTCATATAAGTGTGTATTTATTTATATAGATCTATTTATAGATATTTATATAGATCTATATAAATGTATATATAGTTAATGTGTATATACACACACACACAAACATGTATATATAGCTGTATATATAGTAGATTAATTAATGGATTATAATTTGCAAAATCAGTTTCCTGGCAATAATTATTTTGTTTGCTGTGTCTCAATCATCATCTCTAACTTAGTAACCTGATGCATAGTCTTAATCAACATGACTGCTGTCCTTACCTTATGGTACTCTATATGCCTAGAATTAAAGCAATTCAGAGTATCCTTTTTAGAAAGATAAAATAAAAAGGACTGTACATAACATAAGGAAGAAACATCAATTAACCACATGTCAGTTTTTTTTGAAGTCAAGTGAATTACAGAAGGAAGGACAAGAATATAAAGTGGAACTCTATTCGTTCAATAAGAAATGTTAAAATATTTTTAAAATCACATCATGGAATCCAAAAACCTATGTTTTGGGATACAGACTGCGCCACAAGGTGAGCTGATTATGAATAGTTATGGAGACCTGACCTGGGGCAGGAGTGCTCTCACCTGAACCACCTGGTGGGCATTGGTGTCGTTGAGTACCAGCTCAGTGAGGGCAGCACAACAGGCTGGAATGAAAACAATCAAATGCAGTGTGCATCATTACAATAAATACACTTTCACACAAATACTCTTACTCCACATGGTATTTTTACTATTTTGCTACTTTTATTAGCAAAATAACTCCTCAGGAAACACTAATTTTTCTTCTGGCACAGCTCTGGAGAAAGAGAAGCTGACTTGTAATGGCTTCTGATTTTCCTCTCCATGTAATTCATGTGCACGTCTATTCCACAGCAATCATTTATTGAGTGCTTACTGTGTACCAGGGGCAAGTACTGCATCTGTCCATTTCATTATAATCCCCAGTGACCAACACATGCCTGGCACTTAGCTGGTCCTTAACAAATATATCTATAATGGTTGATAAATAAAAGAATGCTTTAAATATATTATCCAACTCAATCCTTATAAGAAGAGTATGCACTGTGATTACCAGTTTTACTGGTGAGAAAACAGGTTCAGAGAGTTATTAGACTTGGCCACACAACCGGTAAGTGGAAATGACCAGGAGTGCGGCCCCAGTCTGCCAGATGTTAAATCCCCAGCCCTGAGCAGCACCACTCTTGCCTCTGACAGCCACTGTGGCAGCCTTTGGTGGCATTTTGCACCAAGATAATTGTGCTCTAAGAGGTATGCCAGACTGTATGGCACAGAGCACCTATAAAGGATAATTCCATTTTAGCATGTGAAAGATTTTACATATATTCTCATATAATTCTCACAAGGACCTTCTATCACTGATACCATGATTATCATCACCATTTTATATAAGCAAAACTGAAGCTTGGAAAACTTAAGGAACGTGCCCAAGGCCATATAGTCATCGATGAGGGTGGAGCCAAAATTCAGACCCCACTCTTAGCCCTTTAGGTTTCTAATTTTTATTTTTCCATTTTTATTTAGGTATTGATATGGTTTGACTGTGTCCCCACCCAAATCTCATCATGAACTGTAACTCCCAAAATTCCCATGTGTCATGGCAGGAACTGGGTGGGAAGTGATTGAATTATGGGGGCGGGTCTTTCCTGCACTGTTCTCCTGATAGTGAATGAGTCTCAGAAGATCTGATGATTTTTAAAATGGGAGTTTCCCTGTACAAGCTCTCTCTCTCTTCATCTGCCACCATCCACATAAGACGTGACTTGCTCCTCCTTGCCTTCCACCATGATTGTGAGGCTTCCCCAACCATGTGAAACTGTAAGTTCATTAAACCTCTTTCTTTTATAAATTGCCCAGTCCCGGGTATGTCTTTATCAGCAGCATGAAAATGGACTAATGCAGTAAATTGGTACCAGTAGAGTGGGACTTTGCTGAAAAGATAACTGAAAATGTGGAAGCGACTTTGAAACTGGGTAACAGGCAGAGGTTGGAACAGTTTGGAGAGCTCAGAATAACAGGAAAATGGGGGAAAGTTTAGAACTCCTGAGAAACTTGTTGAATGGCTTTGACCAAAGTGCTGATAGTGATATGGACAATGAAATACAGGCTGAGGTGGTCTCAGATGGAGATGAGGAAATTGTTGGGAACTGGAGCAAAGATTATTCTTGTTATGTTTTAGCCAAGAGACTGGTGGTGTTTTGCCCCTGCCCTAGAGACTTGTGGAACTCTGAACTTGAGAGAGATGATTTAGAGTATCTGGCAGAAGAAACTTCTAAGCAGCAAAGCATTCAGGATGTGACTTGAATGCTGTTAAATGCATTGAGTTTTAAAAAGGAAACAGCATAAAAGTTTGGAAAATTTGCAGTCTGAGAATGCAATAGAAAACAAAATGAATTTTAAAAAGGAAACAGCATAAAAGTTTGGAAAATTTGCAGTCTGACAATGCAATAGAAAAGAAAATCCTATTTTTTAAGGAGAAATTCAAGCCAGCTGCAAAAATTTGCATAAGTAATGAGGAGCCAAATGTTAATCTCCAAAACAGTAAGGAAAATGTCTCCATGGCATGTCAGAGACCTTTGCAGCTGTCCCTCCCATCACAGGCCTGGAGGTTTAGGAAGAAAAAATGGTTTCATGGACCAGGCCCAGGGTCCCATGCTGTGTGCAATCTTGCGACTTGGTCTCTGGCATCCCAACCACTCCAGTCATGACCAAAAGGGGCCAAGGTACAGCTCAGGCTGTTGCTTTAGTGGGTGAAAGCCCCAAGCCTTGGCAGCTTCCATGTGGTGTTAAGCCTGAGGATACACAGAAGTCAAGAATTGGGGTTTGGGAACTTCTGCCTAGATTTCAGAGGCTGTATGACAATGCCTGGATGCCCAGGTAGAAGTTTACTGCAGGTGTGGGCCTCTCATGGAGAACCTCTGCTAGGACAGCTCAGAAGAGAAATGTGGGGTCAGAGCCACCACAAAGAGTCCCTTCTGGGGCACATGCTAGTGGAGCTGTAAGAAGAGGGTCACCTTCCTCCAGACCCTGGAATGGTAGATCCAGTGACAGTGTGCACTGTATGACTGGAAAAGCAACAGACACTCAACAAAAACCATGAAAGTAGCTGAACGGGAGGCTGTACCCTCCACAGCCTCAGGGCAGAGTTGCCCAAGATCATGGGAACCCACTTATAGCATCAACATGACCCAGATGCAAGACATGGAGTCAAAGGAGATCATTTTGGAGCTTTAAGATTTGACTGGCCTGCTTAATTTTGGACTTGCATGGGGCCTGCATCCCCTTTGTTTTGGCCAATAGCTCCCAGTTGGAACTGGTGTATTTACCAAATATCTGTACCCCATTGTACCTAGGAAGTAACTAACTTGCTTTTGATTTTACAAGCTCACAGGCAAAACAGACTTGCTTTGTCTCAGATGAGACCTTGGACTGTGGACTTTTGAGTTAATGCTGAAATGAGTTAAGATTTTGGGGAACTTCTGGGAAGGCATGATTGGTTTGGAAATAATGTGAGAACATAAGATTTGGGAGGGGATGGGGGCAAAATGATATGGTGTGGCTGTGTCCCCACCCAAATCTCATCTTGAATTATAGCTTCCACAATTCTTAGGTGTTGTGAGAGGAATCCAGTGGGAGGTGATTGCATTATGGGGGTAGGTCTTTCCTGCGCTGTTCTCAGGATAGTGAATAAGTCTCATGAGATCTGATGGTTTTAAAAATAGGAGTTTCAGGCCGGGCATGGTGGTTTATGCCTATAATCCCAGCACTATGGGAGGCCAAGGCAGGCAAATCACCTGAGGTCCCGAGTTTGAGACCAGCCTGACCAACATGGAGAAACCCTGTCTCTACTAAATAATACAAAATTAGCTGGATGTGGTGGCACATGCCTGTAATTCCAGCTAGTTGGGAGGCTGAGGCAGGAGAACCGCTTGAACTCAGGAGGTGGAAGTTGCGGTGAGCTGAGATCATGCCATTGCACTCCAGCCTAGGCAACAAGAGCGAAACTCCAACTCAAAAAAAAAAAAAAAAAAAAATGGGAGTTTTCCTGCACAAGCTCTCTCTTGCCTGCTGTCATCCACATAAGATGTGACTTGCTTCTCCTTGCCTTCCACCATGAATGTGAGGCCTCCCCAGCCATGTGGAACAGTAAGTCCATGAAACCTCTTTCTTTTGCAAACTGCCTCCCTGTCTTGGGTATGTTTTTAGCAGCAGCATGAAAATAGACTAATACGGGTATAGAATAAGCTATATAACGTAGATACATCTTAAGTGTATACAGCTCAATGAGATACTACATATCTATGTACCCTGCAACCATCCTCCACCCAGAGGAATGTGTACGCTATATTTCCAATTCTCAAAGGCTCCTTGTACCCCTTCTCAGGCATTCACTCGCCTACAATTCCACATCTAAGTAACTGCTCTTCTGAATTCTATCATCATCAACCTCAGCCACTCTTCGATTGCTAGAAACACTAAGAGCTCTGAGATTCAGCTAGATGAGACTTCTGGGGAGTCTTCAAACAGTAAACCCCGGCACAAGCCCTTGTAGTGAGACAGCGGCCTTTCAGAGTAAGCAGAAATGGCACTTTGAAGAGGGGATCCTATGTCCTTGTTTTCACTCACCTGTGTAGAAATAACTTCCGCATTCTTCAAGAGAAAAGAGTAGACAGCAAAGAAAGCCTGCCTTCTCCCACTCCCTCATCCCTTAATCCCTCTCCCTCCACATCTGCTCTTTTCCTTTAGAGTCCCCCATCTCCTGCTGGCCTACACCTCACCTCTCTGCTCCCTTTCTGTGGGCTGCTCTAGGGCACCCAGCTTGGCCAATAGTACTCAGACTGCACTGTAGCTCCACTTGTCCCAAGTGTCGGGTGCCCCCAGGCAGGGCACAAGCTGCATGACTGCTCAAGGTAGCCCTGCCAAAAAGTGTTGATGCATTACTGCTCCTGCTTGCATGTGAAAATCCTAGACAGGGAAGCGTCTTTCAGCTTTCTCTTCGGAGCTCAAGAAGGATGAGGAAGGTACTGTCTTGCACCTGGTGAGACAGGTGTGTGCACTGTAGATTCCCCCTTACGTAGGGTGCCCTGGGATCAAGAAAATTCTAGAAAGCATGACTCTAGCCACAGATCAAGCTCCATCCTCTAATCCAGCTTCCCTCATAATAAAGCTAATGTTTTGTCTCCTTAACTCTGACTTCTGTTCATCTCTTGCTGGGTTCAGAACGTAGAAGACAAAGGAACGTTTGTTGTATCATTAAATCTGCAAGTCCAACATTGAGACCAAGAAGTTTCTGGCATCCACGTGGATTTCACTTTCCATTTTTGTACACTTATAAATTGTGCCTACTAAATACTATTACACTAATTTATATTAGTGAATAATAATACAACATAATAAATTATAGTATATCAAATAATAAAACATAAGTACCTGCTTGAAGAGAGAAAGTATTTTCTTGTATTTCCCTAGGGCTCAAGTCTTCTGATAAATGAAGCTGCTGGATTCGGCCTGCAGCGTTTGCACTGGACAGGCTTCCAATGGAGGAGCGATCAGAAACAAAATTTCTGTCTCTGAAAAGGAAAAGTGGACGCGCAGACCATTTATCAATTTCTTTCACAGTCAGTCCTTTCTGTGTCACATTTAAGAAACCTTTGCTTCCTTCAGGTCATGAAGGGATCTTTATTGTTTCACTTTCCAATCCACCTGGAATTGATGTTTGTGTATGGTGTGTGGTAGGAGTCATTTTTTTTTATGGTTACTGAACTGATTTCTCACTATTTACTGAAAAGCATCCTTTCCCCACTGCTCTACACGGACACCTTTGTTTTTGAACTTTCCATTTTCCTGGAGTCAGTTCATCTGAATACATCTCAGTCTTGATTATTCTCAGTTTTCTTTTTCCATGAACTTCCAATCTTCCTCTATTTTAGGAAAGTTGGAAATTTTTTACCCCTTTCATTCTACTCTCCACTTCAGGGATCTCAATTATCCGCATGTTGAAAACCCATCTTCTTCTATGGGCTGTATCTTTCATTTTCTAATTGCTTTTATTCGTTGGTCTTTTTCTTCTGCATTATATGTGATTTTTTTCAAGCTTATCCTGCATTTTACTATTTCCATGTTTATTCTGGTGATCTAGCTAATTTATCAGCTCTGTGGGTGTTATTCAGTCCTTGTGTTTTTTCCTAGCTCTGCAATCTTCTCCCCTTTTTGTGTCTAAAACTTGTTTCATCTTTAACTTCATTTCATAAATTCATGCTCTGTTTAATGTTTTCGATAAAATAAAGCCTTCACTTTTCTGTTTACTCGGTGGCCTTTCTTCTACAATAGATTCTCCATCTGTCTTTCGCCTGTTTTGTTCCCTTTTGTTTCACATAGTTACCCTATTTTTTTAATGTATTTATTTTTTATAGCAGCAGCTCCACCTGGATTTCCATGTGCCCAAATGTAACATGAATGGAGTTTCCTTGACTTCCTTCTCATGTCATCTGGGTCCTCTAGTGTCCTCGCTGCAATGAGCATGGGGAAGGTCATGGAGCAGGGCCTAGGGACAGTCACAGGTAGAAATCTTATCTTTCAACATTATTATCTTAAAACTCAAATTGTAGGGATCTCTTCACCTGATCTAGAGTGTATATAGCCCTTTGGGAGCTGCCTTTGGGTTTGGGATGGCAGGTGAACAGGCATGAGAAAGTTTCCTGGAAACTGCCCTGAAAACAGTGCTATTCATACTCAAGCCACAAGACAGCCTGGCAACCTCCACCCCTAGTGCCAGCTGCAGTCAGCCCAGGGGCAGGCACAGGCTCTGAAAGGGAACTGTTTATCCAGCTGGGGTAATAAATTCTCCCAGGGCACCAGTACATATTTAACATAGAATAAGGGTTGAAATATATCATTGTCCCAGGGAAAAGTCTGCTAACATTGCACTATCCAAATGGACTGGAAAATGATTCTTTAGATGTGAAAGACTTCTTTTTTTTTTTTTATCAAGGATGGTTATTTCATCTTTATCTAACTAAGACTTGTTTCATCTTTAATCTCATTTCATAAATTCTTGAGCAAAAGAGGAAAGCTAGATTCAATTCTATATGAGAAAAACACAGGTTTCGAAATTCTGCTTAACTATTAGAGAATTTCATTTTATCCTTAAAAAAATAGCTTTTCTCCAAGAGGGCAACCCACACCTATTGTAATAGGTATGATTGTCCAATAATAAAGAATAACCATGATCATCATTACCATCGTCATCCTACAAGCCCTAATAAAAAACCGCCAGCAATTGTAATTATTTTGACCAAAGGTCTGGCTTATTATGTCACAGCACTAATGAAAGATTTATAATTTATGCTATAAAGTAATTGACATTTTTATGTCACAATCATAAAGCAAGTAGACTGCCAACAGTCTATAAATTTTTTCCTTTGTTTAGGTAATGACAGATATTGTTAACAAAGCAACTATTTATATCTCTACAATCTGTTCTTATGCTTCTGAATGTTGAGAAAGCATTCAGAAGCTGAAGTTGCTTCTGAAAATGAAGTGGCTAACACAATTCTGCAATATCACTAGAAGCATACCAAGTACAAAGTCACAAAAATATTGATTTGACAATATCTGGTTATACGGTAATTGATAAGTCCCTTTGCTTGTATTAGAACGAGCTTTATTTATGCACTGCAGATCAAACACATGATCCATTTCAAGCAGTCGTACTCATTTTTAATTTTGATTCGGCACCCACAGAACTGAATTATACTTTATAACAATATTAGGTCATAGAATCTTCCCTTGGATGGTACCGCAAGATATTATTATTCAATACTTCAATATATTTAATTCAGAAAATACAGAAGTTAGATTCCAACATCCTTCTAGAGAATTTCACTTGGAAACTATGTTAACAAACTATCCATCCTCCATGCTCCTGATTTAGAATGTCACTGGAATTCTACTCTTAAAAGAGAGATAATACCACCTTAGAGGACCGTAATGAAGACTAGAGAGACAAGTGAGAACTGGACTAGAGTCAGTAACATGGCAACCATTTGATTAATGATATCATCTTTCAAAAATAAGGTTTACACACCCGCTCCTTTCCAATAGGCTTTGTTTTCTCTTTATAGATAATAATATATGTGCATACACAAACATTTTAGGAAAATATTAGGAATTACTATACTTGGAATGACAAAATGCATATACTAAGTCAAGGAAGAGATGACATGACATATGCTTTCATTAGGTTACTGGATTTCCATTCAGCCTTCACTATATTTGCAGACTGATGGCCTTCTATGTTCCCAGCACTACACTGGAGGTTGGTGATGCAAAGATAAATATATCTGGGTCCCCAAGGAATTTAAAAGATGAATGCCCCTGACCTTAATTTAGAACATGCTTGTGACAAGTATAGATGACTCTGGGAAGCATGAATTACCAAAGAAACCCCAAAACAGGAGGGAACGAAGTGAGCACACACCCATCTGCCATCTCATCACAGAGCCCCTAGACTTCAACAAATAGAGCAAAGTAGGCCAAAGCCCACTTTGACTCACCCTCGTAAAATATGAAGAAGCTGTTTGATGCCTCCCCAAATGCGAATTTCCACGCTGGTCTCGGGGTCCTCACAAACCTGGACCAGAATCCAGACGACGCTCCAGAGCAGCTTCAGGTGGTCGGAGTGGAGCAGACTGAGGAGGACAGGTATCCCCTCGTAGAGCTTCACCTGCTCTTTCACCTGGGGCTCCGCACAGAGCAGGCGCAGCAACTCTGCTGTTAGTCTGAAAGGGGACAGGGACGGTGGGGTGAGAATCACAGCATCATGAGTTAGTGACTTCACATTAAGACTAAAGCTATCATGAGTGCATGAAATGTAACTCTAACATTTTGTAAGTCACGGGTCAACATTCATTTTCTGTAAGGAGCCAGATCAAAGCCAAACACGTTCAGCTTTACAACCATACAATCTCTGTCACAACTACTCAGCTATGCTGAGATTGCATGAAAGCAGCCATAAACAACATATAAAAATAAATTTGCATCCCTATGTTACAATAAATCTTTATTTACAAAAATAAGCAGTAGAACAAACTTAGCCTGTAGGTCATAGTTTGCAGACCGCTGTTCTAAGTCATAGCCTCATTGCATCATCATTGGTCCGCATTAGCCAGACGTGGTGGTGTGCACCTGTAATCCCAGCCACTCAGGACTGAGGCAGGAGAATTGTTTGAACCCAGGAGGCGAAGGTTACAGTGACCCAAGGTCGATTGCCACTGCACTCCAGCCTGGGTGACAGAGTGAGACTCTGTTAAAAAAATAACCTACTGACCACCAAATAGACATCAAGGGCAAACAATGAGATCTGCATTGTGCTAAAGACCAAAAATATTTTTAAAAAATTGTTTAAAGCCTTATTCTAGTCTTCAGAAAGTTACTATGAGATAGCAAAATAAGACATTCATAGAAAATGTCAAAAACACTACAATGTAGAGGAGTTAAGGGCAAAGCACTTAACTGTATACTTAGTACAAAGTGCATTACTCGGTACAAAGCAGTTACTGCATACTTGGTACAAAGTGCATTACTCGGTACAAAGCAGTTACTGTATACTCAGTACAAAGTGCATTACTCAGTACAAAGCAGTTACTGCATACTTGGTACAAAGTGCATTACTCAGTACAAAGCAGTTACTGTATACTCAGTACAAAGTATATTAAATTGATGGTAAAGACCCAAGGTTCAGCTATGCCATGAAACATTGTGATGATAAATGTTTATAAAAACATCCTTAGTCCTCCAGTCTCATACTCTAAACACTCTCCTCCTGGATGGTGTTATCCATTCCCGTGATTTCACTCTTTCTACCTTGTCATCATGATCTCAGCCCAGACATTGCTCCTAACCTCCAGAAGTTTTAGCCACAGGGATGTTCTACAAGTACTCACCATACTATCCCTAAACTCAAAGTCATTGGCTTCTTCCCCAGGTCTATTCTTCACCTAATATCCCCAATCTTGACTCATGGCACCACGATATTTTCCATTTTCCAAGCCGCAAGACTGGGAGTCATCAAGACACACACTCCTCTTTTCACACTCGTCCACTGTCAATCAAGAGCTCTTAGCTGTTCCATTTCCTGGGCAACTGCTGGGATTCTCTTGAACATCAGGCAGCTAGCTCCTCCCATCCTTGGAATCCTTGCTCATGCTCAAGATATAAACCCTTCTTTCACCTACCTCTCCAATATTCTCATTCACATACTGCTTTCTCATTCCTTTCCCCTGAGCTGATTATCTGTGGTGCCTCTACCTCCCAAATTTTGTGTTCTGACACAATTAATAGCACATGTTCCTTGATGAATGGTATTCTTTATCTTCACAAACATTCTACACCAAACATCCTCTTCTTGTTGTAAGTGAATCTCAACGTGTGGATGTAAACAAACACCTCCCACCTCACTCCCGTATACACTGCTATCAAACTGAACTTTCAAATAATAAATTTGATCATGCTTAAAATTGTTCTGTGAGTTCCCACAATGTTCATGATAAAATTTACATCTTTATGTGTTTGATAAATATTTATCTGTTTGATAAATAAAGATGATAAACGTGAATTTTATCATAAACATCATGACCTGGATAAAGGTGTCTTGTTGCCTTATGTATAAAATATGGGAAAAATAGGGTTAGTGTGCAGATCACATGAGTTAACATGTAAAGTGCTTAGAGCAGGTCTTGGCATATAGAGAACACTGATCAAATTTAGTGGCATTTTAAATTTATCATTAACTATCTGCACTAGTTCTCTGGTACTTTCCTTCCTGTGCTCTTCATGTGCCCAACCATACACATTCCTCTAACACAGCCAATTTCATGACTCCATGTCCAAGCACATTCTGTTTTTACTTTCTTTCTCTCTCTCTCTCTCTCTCTCTCTCTCTCTCTCTCTCTCTCTGCCTAGATATCTCCTCTTTCCTTCAGGAAACTTTGCATGACCCCACATTCTAATTGGGAAGTCTCTGCTCTAAGTTCCCAGAGCACACTGTGCATCTGCCTACTGTATCAGTTACAGCACTGTCTGACCCTCTCCTACGCTACACATTTATAACTTATTCATCTTTGGTTTTCAACATCTGGCACAGAGCTTAGAACCTTGTGTGTTCAGATAACCAAGTCTATAAGTATTATCTATAGTTAATGCCCTTTTACAAGAGTTTTGAAGAAGAATCCAAAAGGTTTTACTGTGAGTTAAGTGTCAGGGCTTCATTGCTTGAGGTTACTTTTTATCGATTTTGCCTCTTTAGAAAATTACTCAACTAAATATCAAATGATGTAGATTGCAACTCTATTTAAACACAATCTAATAACTATCTGGATGGAGTAATTCTTTAGAACAATATGCAGTTCAAGTAAAAATGAATCCATTTTAGTATAGATTGTATTTTGAATTATTATAGCAGGTGATCACAAAACAAATCAGTTGCTATCTTAATTTATTTTACTTGCCTTAAAGCAAATGGATTTTAGCAATCTAATCATTTATTGCAATATACAACTTGAAATTACTAAAAATAGAGCCACCTCAGAGTTTCTTTCTCTACAAAGGCAGGATATAAATAAATGCAATAAACAAAACATTAAAGATGGTATCACAAAATTTATTTCATCAGCTTCTATGACCATATCTAGAAGTAATGCAGGACTAAAAATAAATGGATATACCTCCTTGTTCTATTTTCCTTACATAGACTTAAATCGAAAACAAAAGCCAAGCTGACTCATTATATTCAGTTACAAGAAAATAACATGACATCATAAAAACAGTAACAAGTGTGTCTGTCAAATAAAAGGCACTGCATTGTCTTTTTCTCCCGTTAGCAATCCTACCTTTTAGAAAGCAAGTCGTATTCATGTAAAATCATCAACAGATTTTCTACAATGTTCAGTTCACTTATCTTCTCCCTACATTCTGGACTATAAATTGAAAAATATTAACAATTACTAAAAACAAATTTTGCTACATCCATGTATTAGTCCTTTTTTATACTGGTATAAAGAACTGCCTGAGAGTGGATGATACATAAAGGAAAGAAGTTGAATTGACTCACTGTTCAGCATGGCTAGGGAGGCCTCAGGAAACTTACAGTCATGGCAGAAGATGGGAAGCAAGGCACTTTCTTCATGAGGCAGCAGGAAGAAGTGCCGAGCAAAGGGGGAAGAGCCCCTTATAAAACCATCAGATCTCGTTAAAACTCACTCACTATCACGAGAACAGCGAGGAGGAAACCTGCCTCACGATTCAGTTACCTCCACTTTGTCTCTCCCTTGACATGTGGGAATTATGGGGGTTAGAGGGATTACAATTCAAGATGAGACTTGGGTGGGGACACAAAGCCTAACCATGTAAATTCACTTATTTAATATCCTAGCTCCAACATTTGCTCAGGAGAAGAGATTAAAAAACAAATGAAATCATATGTTTTTCACAGAAAAACAATGGTCCACTTATTGTCATAAAAACATTTAAAATAATCATGACATTTATAACAGGAAAGACCTTGAAATTTTTTCAAAGCCTGCAAATGTTTGACAATGTTCTGTATGTTAAAATACACAGGTAAGAATGAATTTAAAAGGTCAGAAAGCTTTAACTGCCAAAGAAATATTATGGTAATTTTAAAATTAGAAGTAACTGACGTTAGAGAAAAAGACAACATTTCTGCTCAGGAAATAAAAAGAAAATTTTAAACTACAATTTGTCATTCCAATGTAAATTTTTAAATGATGCTTTCTATCCAGGACCCTATTCAACATGTTATTTCATATTTATTTCTCAAGAAATGTTATTAAGTAGTTGACAAAGTAACTGATATGTTTTGCATCCCTCCCACCTAAATTGCTATAGCAGCAGAACTGAAAAGTACATTCGAATATACTACATACCTTTCTGCTAAACTAGCCAGCGCCAGAAGGGAACCCAATAGAACATTAGTATCTCGGGCACCAAGTAAGTTTACTAATGTCTGGAAAATGAAGTAAAATAAAGGTTACTTATATAAGTACTACAAACTTCTTTTTTCAACATTAATATTAATTGATTTTTTATTACCAGCTTCTTGAATAGCAAAATGATTCCCTCTCAAGATCGGCTTAACCTTTTTTCTTTTTTTTTTTTTTTTTTGCTTAGTTGTTTATAATGCATGTGCACATACAATTAAGCACAAATTATATGTGTAATGTTAAAGCTGCTTTCTCTTATATTTTTTTCTTAATGTTATCTACTGAAATTTTTCCATGGCATTAAATATGGCTTTATAAACACTTGTCAGTATATTGTCAATATAATCAAATTGTTTATTTTATTATGGCTTTACCAGCACAAAAGTGAAAAAATATTATGCCCTATCAAGCGTAATGCAGTTTCTTTTTTTATTTCTTGCAGTCAATATAAAAGTTTATTCTTAAAAAGAGTTTTACTAAACATTCAAAATATCCAGTTCTTTATAGATGGCAGGAGTCCATCCCTCATTACTTTGGAACTCTTGAGAGTAACCTCTTGTAGCCATTCCTTGCTCAGGACAAGAAGCAAAAGACATCAAGCTACATGACCAGCCTGGTTCTCATACTTCCCTCAATGTCCATGTGCCAAAGTATTCTCTGCCCCTTCTGATTCCACCCCGGAGAGAACCAAAGATTAATGACATAAATTACAATACTGGTAGTGATGAGCCATTGAGAACTCACCTGAGCCAGGCGTTGTGCTAGGCACTTTCCAAATTAAGAAACTATTTTTTAACAAAATATTGAAATTTTATTCTTTTGCCAAACTATACAAGATATGAACACTATTGAGCATTCGATTTGCCTCTCAGATTTCTAATTAATGTTGAAAATGCACCACTGATGCTCCCAAACGTCGCCCTAAGTAACATGACTTAGCTGGAAGTGTGTATCTTGTCAGTGGCTTTCCCTGAATTCTCGTTAAGACAAATTTTCTTATTCAGAAAATGCTCTACATTTTCAGAATGGGGAGTGCCCCTGAAAAGTTCCCAGGTCAGAGGTGCAACCTGGGCAAAGAATGCTAAGATAATTTTTATGTTTCCAGTATGCAGATTTGTTGCCTTTATGATTCATTTTATATTGATGAAGTTATCATTATCTTTGTTTCTCTGATCCCCTCCTCTTTTTCTTCTTTCTCATTTTCTTCTCTGTCTTCTAATGTTTCCCAAACTTCAGTGCATTGCATATCATTTTCACAATTTTTGCCATATTCAATTACCATCTTAATGTGAACTCAAAAAAAAAATTCCAATCATAAGCAGTAATATCTATAAAATAGATGGCTACTGAAACAAAAAATGTTGACCTGTGTATCACCTGGAATCATCCTCTAGACCATGAGCAGTATATGTTAACACATTTTAGGCAATCTTGCTCCTATATATACTAGAAAGTGGCTTCCCAGGATATGAAACTCAACAGGTTACTGAAACTTAGCTCCACATGGCTACAGTCTAAACAGTTTTGCTATAAATATACTCTGTTTTGACCTACAATGACAATCACATATGGTTCAAACTAATATAGCCCCACATGCCATATGGAAATTATTTATACATATATATAGGTACGTTTTGTTTATTTTTGTTGACTTATTTATAAACACACACCTAGGATGAGTTAATACATAGCCAAGCTTTCCAAACAACATTTAAGCAATAAGCCTAGTTGGTATTAAATGGCACAGAAAAAAAAAGAAAAGGGTTCCAGAAAACTTGTATTTATTACATCCCTATTAACTTGTAAGGCTGGTAAAGAATACAAAAGGGTTGACAAAGATTCACCATGTTAGGTCAGTCTGGCAGGTTTGTGGGTTCTAATGACACATGATTTACCCACAAAGGCTCTGAACCTTCCCAATGTGAACTATTGCCATATGGAGCCAAAGCATTAACTCTTTAAGGGGCCACTCACCTTGTGAGCTCCGCTTGTGGTGACCCATTCTCTTTGATCTTTGACCGCAGCGAGTTTTTGAAAAATATCTATAAAGGAAGGAAAGAGTGCAAAGAGGTATCTGGAGATTAAAGGGGGAGTACTCCCGGGAGCACAGACCTGCAGCACTGATGGGCAGGCAGAAATAGGGCAACGGGAACAGTCAGCACGAAAGGAAAAACAGATGCAGGAGCAGCAGGGCTATATTTTCACCCCAAGAACTACCCCTCAAGCTCCACTGCTATTTATTATATGATTATAATAATGAAATATGAAAATACCAAAAAAGGCAAACCTCTCTTTCCACTTAAAGTTGAACAAGTTCCTTAACATCATTACCAGTTCAAAGTGAAACCTATTCTTCAAAGGTCCTCTCTGTGAAGATTTCAACTTATAAAGAGGAGAGGGAAGCCAGCAAATGAGATGAACTTGTAAGTTTCCTCAGCTGACGAAAATAGTTATCCTCAAAGAGACTTCCTGGTGCCCAGGGCTTGCCACAAACTCTTCTCTCCCTGGACCTGAGGACACTGTGTGCTCCACAGGCAGATATGGAGAGCCAGTGGAGTCACACAAAGAAAATGGACTAGCATCCCACACGGCATGACATCTGTGGCTCATCAAAGCTGGAGTGCAGGACAGCAGGGCTGGGAAGAGCCTCCAACGAGAGAAGACGGAGTGACTAAGGAGCATCTCATACTCACAGCCCAACATTTGCACATTAGCATCATCAGATAAGGTTTGTAGTTGTTATTTTTCATGTTCTGGATGTTTCCGATTCTATGAGGCAGGAATCATTATTAGCCCAATTTTATAGGAAAAAGAAACTGAATAGTCTCTGACATTTTAACAGAAATAAAAGAAGGCAAAAATAGTTTTTACCAAAATTTGCTTTTATGGAAGCCTCTCTTCCATTAAATAAATTGTGCTTTTCAAGGTAAGGGCTGTAATCTAAATATCTTCCTTCTGGATGTACGTGGCCACTGAATATAACAATGGGCATGGATGTTCAACACTTACATGTCATGTTGACCAGCTTGTCCACACTGTGCTGCTCTTCTCCGTAGCTGAGGTACTCATTGGCTACAATCTCCATGTACTGCATGAAGGACCAAACCAACAAGCCAGTCAGGACACCAAAAGCACACAAGGACCCAAGAACAAGATTGTGCAGTTCTTAAAATAAGCTGTAGGTGGCACAACAGATTCATCAAATAATACTCATGCTCCTGGGACTTATCACTTAAGTGCAAAGTTGGTTGGGTTTCCAGGTGAAGTTGAGGAAAGACCATCTAAAGACTATAAACTCTTGAAGGCCTCAAAATGACTCTTAACTAAGTAAGTTTGTGGTGTAATTTAGTACCCAAATACAAGAATCATATAAGATACATAACACATAGTATATAGAACGTTCACTCTTCAATGTATCTTTTTAGGATAATTTTTTATAACACACTGCATATATTTTATTGATGTTATATTTTATAATATCTGAACATATATCTAACCAGCATACATGCAGTTAGCAATAATCAGAATAAAATGGGTACTGAGTAGTCTGACAATTCCCACTGTGGATAATTGATTATAATAAGAAACAGGCTCAGGGAAACATGTAATTTCTAATATTATAACGGAAGTTAAAATGGGTAAGAAGATACTTTGCAATGTAATCTTACGAAATATTATGTTATTAAATGAGGTAAACCTCTAGTCAATTTTAAAAGGCTCTTGAAAACAAAAAATAAGCATGAATCAATTTTCTAAGAACAAGAATATAATAAAATAGATTTAATGTTAAATTGCCACAAACTTCATCTTCCATTAATTATTCAGAATGAGTTTGCAGGGCCGCAGATTTATTATGAAAATCATTCTCTGTGTACACATTACAAGTTTTAGGAGACTAGGCTGTTCCAACTCAAAAACATGATCAGAAATTTCATTTTATTCCAGCCTGGCCAAGATGATGAAACCCTGTCTCTACTAAAAACACCAAAAAAAATGATCTGGGCATGGCTGCACACGCCTGTAATCCCAGCTAGTTAGGAGACTGAAACACAAGAATTGCTAGAATCCAAAAAGCAGAGGTTGCAGTAAACCGAGACCATGCCACTGCACTCCAGCCTGGGTGACAGAGTGAGACCCTGTCTCGAAAAAAAAAAAAAAAAAAGAAAAGAAAAGAAAGAAATTTTGTTTGTTTTGTGGTATTAATAAATGCAAGCCTCTGAGTTGCTCAGTATATATATTCACTTGCTTACCCTCCCTCAGTAGTTAGAAAGGCAGAAAAATAAATAAGGTCAAGATCATTCCTTTGTCATCTATTTAATAGTATTTTAGTGAGGACAGTAATCCTTTTCTTGTGTGAAAAAGTTTTGAACATCTTCATAATCAGTTTCTTATCTTTCCAGGCTCAGTGGCACACACCTGTAATCCCAGCTACTCAGTAGGCTGAAGCAGGAGGATTGCTTAGGCCCAGCATTTTGGGACCAGCCTAAGCAACATAGTAAGATACTGTCTCAAATATATATATATATATATATGTATATATATATGTATGTATGTATTTCCTTTCCTCCCACCACATTGTATATACAATGCTAAAGGCTTGAGCCTTCCAGACACTGCCTATTACTTTTTTTTCCCTTTTTTTTTTTTTTTTGTTTTGGAGATGAAGTTTTGCTCTTTCACCCAGGCTGGAGTGCAGTGGCACAATCTTAGCTCACTGCAACCTCCAGCCCCCCAGGTTCAAGTGATTCTCCTGCCTCAGCCTCCCGAGTAGCTGGGATTATAGGCGCCCACCACCATGCCTGGCTAATTTTTATATTTTTAGTAGAGACAGGGTTTCGCCATGTTGGCCAGGCTGGTCTCAAACTCCTGACCTCAGGTGATCCACCCACTTCAGCCTCCCAAAGTGCTATGATTACAAGCAGGAGCCACCACGCCTGGCCGCCTGTTTCTTATTATTACTAGCTAAAGACATGTGACCTTTTACAGCACTTCCTCATTTCAACAGGCTGAGTAAAGTGCGCCCAATTAACCAAAACAAAATGTCATGGGTTCCCCCCGTCCTGTGAGTATCATGCCTCACACTCTCACTTATCAGCTCCATCTGCCCCTCTCTGGGGCAGACCACATAACATAGGAAAGCCATCTTCTGTCACATACCCATTTAATTCTTGCTCAGAGTATGGCACAAAATGAAAAGCCAAGACTGGCCACCACAAAAGGAGTCTTACCTGAGCTAGATTTTCAATCCCACCCAAGCTATGGAGTATTTCCTAATAAAATAAAAGCAACAAAACACATGTAAATGATGAGGGTAGAGGGGGAAGTATATTTCACAAGCAATTTCTTTACTAAGTTGTTGTATTTATTTTGTGAAGGTCTGCATTCTAATATACATATATGGAAAACTTAGGGGATGTCATTCATACTACCTTTAAAGTAAACTATTAATAAATATGACAGTTGGGGTGAGATTCAGAGAATGAATCTGTGCTCAGAACTGCAACCTGCCCACTCATTCTTCCTACCTCCTCCTGTGTCATTCTAAAATGTTAGAGTTGAGAAGAGCCATTAGACACCATTTCATTCAATATTCTCATATTACAGATGAGGAAAACCAAGACACAGAAAGAAAACCATTTTGTGTTATAACTGATGAGCCTGGATGAGAATAGCATCACCAAACTCCAAGAACCCTCTTCTAGGTCTCTACCTAGTGTGGTCCATGAACCGGCGGCACCTGCATCACTGATCAGAAATACAGAATCCTATTCCCACCCCAGACCTGCTCAATCACACTCAGTTTTAACCAGATCTCCAGGTCATACACATGTACAGTACAGTTTCGGAAGCACTGCTCTAGGAGAGAAAGAGCCTCTGAAAATTATTAGGCTAATGATCTTATTGAACCCATGCTCTAAATCAATGTAAAGATAATTTTTGACAATGTCTCCTGATACAGGACTTTAAATTGTGAAATGGACCAGCCAGGAACTCTACTGATAGTAAGTGCTCTTAGGTTGCCACATTGTCATTTATCTATAGGCAAATGTTGTCAGGTGGCTTTAACCTGCTTAATTACATCTGTATTGACATCTCTCTCCTTACTTCACACATACACAAGGAAGTTATTTGAAATATAAACAGAAGTCATTTTTTCAGTTCTGGGAAATGCACAAGAACCAGTACATGAGCATGAGAGAGAACAATCTAGTTCTGCCACGAAGCCAGCGGGTGGGCGGTCTAGGAAAAGGCACAGGGGCCTTTTTCTCTTAAGGCCTCCTGGGTCAAGGTTTTCGTACGCTGCATAAAGTGAACTTGGAAATACGGAACACGCTTACATCTAAATTAAATTTAAAAAGAACTCTCAGAAAATATACTTCTATGACTACCTACTAATTTGAAGCCTCATCAATGCTATTCACTCTAGAAGAGCTATAATTAAAGAGTGAGAATATTGCACATACAATCTCTATTTATGGTAGGATACTTCATGCACATACAAATTAAAATAACATTTAAAACCAGTTATATTTAATCAACAAACAGTTTTTTCATTCCACTTATGTGAAAACCCCGAGTTAGACTCTGAAGGAAATATAAACATGTAGATGGCAGGGGTGCCCTTTGCTGAGCTGTAAGCAAGCATAATAAGGTGGGTATACATACCACTAGAACTTAAGACAGAATGAGGTAGGTGTTAAAAGTAAGTTATACATGCAGTGTTACAAGGCGCCAGAACAGAGACACCTCATTCCTGCCGAGAGGACTAAGAGACACTTCATGTGGGTGGTGGTCTCTAAATGGTGCCTGGAGGGATGGATGGATTTGCTGAGTAAAGATCGGGAACAGGTGAAAATAAAGGAGATTCCACCAAAGAGAACAGGAGGCTCAAAGGTGAATAGAAATTGTGCAGACGAAACATCAAGACATGCTGTAACTCCGAGAGAAGCAGTTCCTTAACGCCATGGAGAGCCTTACCAGGAAAAAAATCTTAGAAAATAGGGTGGATTCACACTGTGGGAGGACTTAGATGTGAGCCTGAATTTGAATGTTTTCATGCAGACCATGATACCCAATGAAAATGTGTGAGCAAGGGACTGGCCAGAATCAGCTGCGGGGACTTCCTCCTAGTCGTAGTATGAACTGGAGGCTGGAAGGGTATCACCTGGAGCTCAGCTGACAGTCAGTGACAGCAAGAATAAGAATGGAGAGAAAGGGGTAGTATTTGAAGCTATATGATCAACTGAATATGAAGAAAGATCGCAAGAAAAGAAGCAAAGTCGAAGACATCAGCCTATTTGAGGAGGAGTGACTGGGAACAATGTCATAATTAACTAACACATGGAAAGAGAAAGGAATAGACTAGGATAGAGAAGACTCTATTTTGGACATGTTGCCGTGCTGATGGGAGGCCCAGGTGAAAACATACAACAGGCCACGGACAGTGAGGTGAGGGCAAAAGATTAAAACCTGGGAGCCATTCACATGAAGGAGATTCATCTGAAGCTTGGGAGTAGGAAGACACCAAAGAAGAGAATAATGTTTAAATGGTCATGGTAATGTTATTTTTAAATGTTTGCCACGACAAGAAATTTTTTCAGGCCAGGCACAGTGGCTTACACCTGTAATCCCAGTACTTTGGGAAGTCGAGGTGGGTGGATCACCTGAGGTTGACAGTTTGAGACAAGGCTGACACACATGGAGAAACTCTGTCTCTACTAAAAAATACAAAATTAGCCAAGCATGGTGGCACATGCCTGTAATCTCAGCTACTCGGGAGGCAGGAGAATCACTTGAATCTGGGAGGCAGAGGCTGCAGTGAGCTGAGATCGCACCATTGAACTCCATCCAGCCTGGGCAACAAGAGCGAAACTCCATCTCAAAAAAAAAATTTATTCAATAATTTTGATGATATGGGACTAAGTCAATATTTCCCAAACCATGAGATCTGGGTGGAATTAGGCATTCTACCAAAAAAACAAAACAAACAAACAAACAAAAAAAAACAGAGAAAAGAGTTTCATAACCCAAGCAGCTTGGGGAATGTTAAGTAAAACAAATTTAACAAACTCTCTATCAGGACTCTTTGGAGCTGGTGTGCACTTTAAGTTTCTAAAAGAAAAACTAGTGTGCAGCTTTTCCTAAACATCCCTTGCCAAAGCACAGTTCGTCTCCCAGAACATGTATTACTCCTGTGGAAAAGTTTGAGAGGTGCTGCTATAGAGTAGAGGCATGAGAAACCCGCTAACTCCCTCTTAGAGAATTTTGTCATTACGTTATGTACTCAAGAATTTAACCTTCACGTATGAAATGAACGCTTTCCTTCCACGCTCCTGTGGAAGGGGGAGCAAGGTCAGGAGATCGCTCACAGGCCCCAGTCTTCTTTGCATTTCCTTTCCTTCTACCAACAGGACTGTACTAACCCAAGAGTGTAAACTAAAGAAAACCATGACTACAAGGTATGTATACACAGGGGCTTAACAGTTCTGAAAAGCAAATAGGACTGCAAGCTTAGGTTACAGCAACGCGTCCTGTGTGCCCTTTCAGCCCTCAGCATCTTTCCCTGTCACAGGCCAGAAGGTCATAAAACTGGTTTCTGAATTTCTGAGCCTAATGACCTGGAGAAAGTCCCCTAGTGAATCTGAACTTCAATCTGTAAAATGTGAACAATGTCTTTGCTAAGCTTACCCCCTGAATTGTTCCTTTTTTAAAAAAGTAGAGCCAATAATACAATACTGGTAAAAAGTACGTTTTTAAAAATGGAGCGCATTATGCCAGTATATTTTTATTACAGCCAAAACTGTCATTTCCGTTTAGGTGCTCTCATCCTAAACCGATGTGGCAACTAAATCAACGAAAGCTGAACATCCTGCAGATCCTTTAACACTGAATCACTGGTATGACCATTTACTCCTCTGTTCAAAAGTCATCAGTGGCTCCACAAAGCTCATTCCTTGGTTATGAGTTTAATGCCCCTCTATGGACTGGTCTTCACCTGTCTTTCTAGGTTTGGAACTGTAACCACTCTTCTAAAAAGCTTGGTATACTCGATTTGTAGGAGGATGAGAATAAAGGAAATAGATGCTTCTAAAGTTTTCTACCCTCAGTCTGACAAAATATCATGCCGTTAAAAGAATCAGGAATTGGTTCCAAAAGTTCAAGGATGAGGGGAAGAACTGAAGAGCTCCATTTTAAAGTTACTGAGTATAATATGCTACAAAAGTTATCCTCAAAATTTTGGTCTCAAACCCCTTTATGCTCTTAAAAATTACAGGAACCAGCCGGGTACGGTGGCTCACGCCTGTAATCCCACCACTTTGGAAGGCCGAGGCAGGCGGATCACGAGGTCAAGAGATCGAGACCATCCTGGTCAACATGGTGAAACCCCGTCTCTACTAAAAACTACAAAAAATTAGCTGGGCATGGTGGCATGTGCCTGTAATCCCAGCTACTCAGGAGGCTGAGGCAGAAGAATTGCCTGAACCCAGGAGGCGGAGGTTGCGGTGAGCCGAGATCGCGCCATTGCACTCCAGCCTGGGTAACAAGAGCGAAACTCCGTCTCAAAAAAAAAAAAAAATCAAAAAAAATTAGCTGGGCATGGTGGCGCGTGCCTGTAGTCCCAGCTACACGGGGGGCTGAGGCAGGAGAGTTGCTTGAACCCGGGAGGCAGAGGTTGCAGTGAGCTGAGATCGCGCCACTGCACTTGGCTTGGCGCCTGGTCACGGAGCCAGGCTCTGTCTCAAAAAAAAAAAAATTACCGAGAACTTTGAAGAGCTTTTGTTTATATGGGTTAGAAAGTATCTGTTCGTATTTATTGCACTAGAAATTAAAAGTGAGAAAATTTTAAAACACAAGAATGCACAAGTATACATGTTCCATCAGCTGCCAGAGTTATGAGAGGTTGTGTAGCTTAGAGAAAATTCCACTGCACGTGTGTAAGTGAGAGTGAAAAGACAAATAACATCATTTAGAATCATTTAGTATCATGGTGAAGATAGTTTTGATCTTGTGGAACCCCTGAAAGGGTTTCAGAGACCTGTAAACAGTACCCGGGACCATACGTTGAGAAGCACTACGCTACCGCGTCATTGAGGTGGTTGTCTAACATGTCTCTGGAAACTTGGGACTTAAAGGGGAAAGTGTGAGGCTGAAGATATGAACTTGTGAACAAGCAACAACAAAAAGATAGTTGAAGCCAAGAGCTTGGAAGATATGGGAGAAGACAATAAAGGAGAAAAAAAAAAAAAAACTTTGAGGAAGGGTATATATGAAGACAAGATGAAGAACAGAATGTGTAAATAATACCAAAAAATGCTGAATAAAAGCTAGAGGTTCTCAGGATCACTATAGGCAAGGAGAAAACGAGGTAAAGTGTGTCTCCTGCTAACAGCAGATTGGAGAATGTAAGCCTGAGAGAAGACCACTCAATCCAACGATTTTTATTATTGTTTCTAACATAATTGTCATTCAGGATCTTTTAAGGTTTTCTCTTTATCTTTGTTAAGCAATGTGCTATGGCTTCTCTCTAATGAATCGACGTGAATGTTTATCTTTATCCTGCTTAGGACTCCAACTGCAACTGAAATCTCAATACGTGTCCTTCCTTTAATTCTAAAAAACAATTCTATCTTCAAAATGGCTTCTCTTCATTCCTTCCAGTCTTTCCTTGCTGGAACATTCACTAAACATATAATGGAAACTCTGTACTGGCAGGCAGGATCCAGTCTACAAGCCACTAGTTTGCAACCTCTGAGTCGAGGAATGAGGTCTGAAGCATGGCACAGTGTGGTCTATTTAAAGGGTTTCCGGAGGGAACCTTGTACCCAGAATCCAACGGGCAAGGTGTGCAATACATCAGTCCTGGGGCAAAGGAACTGGATTCAAGAGACACAGCCTTGCCTTTCCAGAAATATAGGATGAAAGGAGGATGAAGAGTTGAAGGAACGGCTGGGTCAAGGAAGAACATTTTTATGGTAAGGGAAAATAGAAAGACAGCAGGTAGAAGGGTAAGACTCGGCCAGGAGGAGGAGTATTACTTTCAAAATATGAGGGAAGTAGAGTTGCAGGATAACCCAAATATTTCAAACAACGAGGAGAAAATAAGACAGCTCCCACTGGGATGGCTTTGGACTTCCCTGTAAAACAGAGATGATACAATTTGGTGAGAACAATGGCGGCAGGAGAGGGTTTGGGTGAGAAAGGTGAAGATGGTTCAGAGGGTTGCTGTGGACCCTGCAATACTGACTGAACAAGAGAGGAAGGGAACAAATATCCATGACAAAGGCATGCTGAGAGTCACTGGCTAAGTCATAAGTTGTAGTAAACCCCAGCATAGCTTTGTGACTACAGCCAACAATTCTTGGCACCTCAAGATGTTAAACAACTGTCTGAGCACGTGGTCGTCTGTGTGGAGAGAGTGCCAGGGAGGACAGACTCAGAGATAATTCCCTTCTATGGAAAGGCTGGCCAGCAGGACAATATTCGTTTAATGTGTGTCTTGGTCGCAAAATCTCATAAACAAAGTCGTCTCTGAATTCTTTCCTTCAGAGGGCAATACAGTCAACCCTGTTCCAATCCACCCAGAACAAGACTAAGAAAGGCAGAACTTTAGATGGGAGATCAGCAGAGTACGACACCCTTATCAACAGTTTTTCTGAACAAACAGAACATCTCTTGGGCAAATATTTGCTAGTTCTAGTCAGATTAACTGGACCTTCCTCCCGGAAAACTTCATTAATATTACACATACAATGTTTTCATCCAAACTGAGATGTATTGGGGAATAAAAGAGAGTGCTATTACTAATTAGGTAGCAACAGTGAGCACGTAATAAGACTGATCCAGGCAAAACGAAACATATGGCCCATCCTTACTTATGCATGACCCAGACAGAATTGCAAAAAGCAACTCAGAAATATATGGAACACACAGTTCTGTACAGTTGGTCACAGGAAAATAAGGATGCTTACCTACCCAGAAAATTGTGAGCAATCAGGACAGAAAGCCATTTCAAGGATGCCCTGGTTCACATATCCTAAGGGTTGTGGTTAGCTAAACTACAATAGCAGAAGGCCAGTTTAGAATACAGTCTGAGGAAGAGGACCATTCTCCTCATGGAAGGATGTGTAATGCCCAGGAATCCCACAAGAGTCCAATCAGAGCAGGCTCTGAACCTGGTTGGTACCAAAATGCTTTCTTAAATGCCAAGTTCGGAAAAGATGGTTACTTTTCCAAACTTGGCACTTCAAGGAAACACATTCTGACTGAAATAAGAATTCATTAATAAAATCAGGTTCAAAATTAAAAGTGTGAGCTTCCTAGCAGCTTATGAGGACAGGGCATAAAAAGAGATACTTTTTAGGTTAAAAAAATATGTTAAGTAAGCTTTTCTTTAGAGCCTTACTGCTAAAGCACTATGTCTTCGCTACTCAAAGTATGGGCCATGAACTAGTAGCAATAGCATCCCTATGAAACTTGATAGAAATGAAGAATCTTGGGCTCCAGTTTATACCTACTGAATCAGGATCTGCACGTACAAGATGTCCAGCTACTTCCCATGCCCATTAGAGAGGCACTAAAAACAGAGGCCAGGTGCAGTTTCTCATGCCTATAATCTCAGCACTTTGGGAGGCTGAGGCAGGAAGATCACCTGAGGTCAGGAGTTCGAGACCAGCCTGGCCAACATGATAAAACCTCATCTCTACTAAAAATACAAAATTTAGCCGGGCATGGTGGTGTACTCCTGTAATCCCAGCTACTTGGGAGACTGAAGCAGGAGAACCACTTGAACCCAGGAGGTGGAGGTTGCAGTCAGCTGAGATCACACCATTGCATTTCATCCTGGGCAACAAAAGTGAAACTCTATCTCAAAAAAAAAAAAAACAAAAAACAAAGGCAGCAGCATTTTAAATTAACTACTGAAAGAAGGAAAAGATTCTTTTTTTTGTTTGTTTTTGAGATGGAATCTGGCTCTGTCACCCAGGCTGGAGTGCAGTGGCCCCATCTTGGCTCACTGCAACCTCCACCTCCCAGGTTTAAGCCATTGCCCCTCCTCAGCCTCCCTAGTAGCTGGGACTACAGGCACACACTCCCATGTCCAGCTAAGTTTTTTTGTATTTTTAGTAGACACAGGGTTTCACCATGTTGGCCAGGCTTGTCTCAAACTCCTGACCTCAGGTAATCCACCCACCTCAGCCTTCCAGTGTGCTAGGATTATAGGCCTGAGCCACCTCGCCCAGCCAGGAAAAGATTCTTGAGCTCAGTATCCTCCTCTGAGACAAGTAGGACACTCCTTGCTCACCTCTAACTCAAATTTGATCCTGCAGGTTGGGAAGGGATTGACCCTGGAGCAGATAGTAAAGCTGCAGGCCGTGGCTTTCTACTGGCTGCCTCTCAGCAACATGAGCAGGCTGCTACTCATCACTGCTGACTTTGACCTAGGGAGCTGCTTGGCCTTGAACATGTTTGAAGATGTGGCCCAGTGCATACCTCCTTGAACAGTAAATGGTTTAAAATGCCAGGTCACAATGAAAACACAGACCAAAAGTTCAATCCACTTAATCCCGTAAGTAAAACAACAGAAATATACAAATTTCTGTCTCCATTAAAGCACTCCTCTCCAATCTTTTTAAATCGTACATGAGATATTCCCCATATATGGAAGCTATTGAGTTGTGAGAGAGAAAACAAAAAGTAAACATGGACTACTTCAAAGAAAAGCCCACTAGTTTTTTATTTCGTCTTTATAACAAGTAAAAAAAAAAAAAAAAACTACTTTTTCAACCAACCTGATAGCATGGATCCCTCATTAGTAGCCTCAGACAGATTAACACTCTCAGAAAATGAATAGATGGGGCTCGATTAACCCACTCTCTGAAAAAAGAAAACAACAGAACATGTTCATGTTTAAAAGCCCAGCGTGACAATTCATAAAAATGCAAGGCTATGAAGGAGTATAATGAACACGAGCAGCACTTAGTTTTTTTGCCCTGGGGACTGTTATTTGGTACTTGAACACTTGACCCATTTTAATTCAAAACACATTTAAACCATTTTTATCAGTGTGGAGGAGAGGCCCCCCCCAAACTTATATGGTTCTTGCCACCACCCTTACTGACCCAGTCATATTTCACATATTTCAAGGTAACCTAATATCAAAAGAAATAGCTAAATGTTCCAAAATTTAGGTAGGTCCAACTTAGTAAGAATGTATCCCCTAACAACTTGGTACCCATTGGAAAAAATAATACATTATATCAAAAGATGATGTTCATAACCACACTTATGTATTAATGGAGGTGTGTGCATTAGTGGACACAAACCAACTTCTCAAGCCTGGAAATCAGTTTAGAATTCACCATCCTTGTTTTCTCTTCCCCCTGACTTTCATAGAGTACTTGTTTTTTTGTTTTGTTTTGTTTTTTTTAATCATTGCAACCACTGAAAATACAGCTTCTGAAAGATATGCCATCAGCTAAAAGAAGGGAGGGTGACCTAACATTGAAATCACAAACTGCCTTCAGTTCTTCATGCTATATGTGATGGATGCTGAGTAGCACTGAGAGGGCTTTTGGTTTTGTTTTTTTAGAAAATTGAAAATATCTCACAGTGCCTCCTGAGAGTTCTCTGCAGCCCTGGGGCAGTTTGGTGCTCGGTTTGGGAAACACCATGATAAAGTATTTTTATTAGATTAGTTTCCCCGGAAGCAGACCCTGAGATGAAGATGAAGTGTGTGCAAATTAATGATTGAAAACATGCTCTCAGGAGAGCCCAGTACGAGAATGGGAGGAACAGGAATAGGAAGAGGAGAAATCCAAGCGAGGGTATGACATCAGGCAAAATCTCCCCCAGCGCGATCCCACAGTGGGGCTCTGGAATGTAAGTCACCCCTGAGAGTTGTCCTGTGCTGAGGTAAGGGCACTGGGCTTTTCTATACTGCTGAAGCTGTTGCGATTGGCCAAGAGCTGCAGGAGGGACTGATGGAACATTCCCAGACACTACCACTGGCTCTCTGTGCCTGCAGGCAAGGCAGACTCAAGGAACCTGGGGGTGACTTGTGCAAGCGTTGCTGGACAGGAAGGGGCCAAAACCGAAAGGGTGAGGACGAGAGGATTCCGGGCAAAACACCACCACCACCCACACTACAGTTCTACAGTGAAACTCGGCAGAACCCTTTGAAATCAAAATCACAGTCACTGGAGAAGTCATATTATGACAGAAACTGAAGGTATATTTACCACAGGTCTGTTCAGAGGGGGAACAAAAACAAAAACTGGATTTTTACTTTAAATATTGGATATAGCCAATATCCAAAATACCATCATCAGATTTCTAAAGATCGACTTAAATTAAAAGTATCATTTCAACAGCATCGACTGCTACAAGCATTCACTCCACTAATTTTGAGAGGTTTCCAAAGTATGTTTCTTTAGCAAAGAATGATTTAGTTGCATCCTTTCACAGGTCTTTAAAATAAGGACAATTGCAATTTTGTAATGTTATTGAAAGAAGCCAGACACTAATCCAATTCAGAGGTGGTCACAGGGTGTTGCACCCAGCAGCCACTCAGATATGCACTGATGACCAATTCTCTGATTTAAACCAGTGTTGTAAAGGATTGGTCTTAGTTTAGGTACCTCTCACTTAGATTTAAAACTAAGGGAGCTCCTCAGTCCAGAGAGAATCCCTCCACTGGCATGCCTCTATGAGCTCAGAAGGTGAGGTTAGCTTAGAAGCAGGAAGTCGGGGTAGGGACAGTCTATGCTCTTTGGTGACACCCACATCCTTCCTGACCCTGCTGGGCCACTGTGAACAATTTCTATTTTGTTTCTCAGCTGTCCCACATCCAGTTATAGTTAGTAGTAAACGTAGTCAAGGTTTTCAGCCAGTTCCCAATGTTGCTTCACAGGCTATAGAATGTGCACGGTGCAAGGTGCATTTCACATCAGTTGTTGAGGATACTTGTAACCAAGGAGTTGGAGCAACAGAGCCCAGACTGAAACCAGAACCTGTGGCTTCCTGACTCTCAGTTTGATAATTAGCATGTCTGAAACTGACTTGATGAACTTCCCCTCAGGTCTGATCCTTCAAGTCATCTAGGTGACCAGACAGAAACCCTTGGTGGTGTTCTTGCCTCCTCTATTTCCCTCACATTCTTTGCCAATTCCTTAGCAAATACTGCCTGCTCTGCCTTTAAAATATCTGTCTCCACAACCTGGCCACTTCTCACTATCCCCTTCACCCCGATCTGGGCTCAAGCCACCATCATCTTTTGCTTGAACCATTGCAAAAGCCTCCTACCTGGCATCTTTGCTTCCAGCTTTGCCCCTCCTGTGCGCTCTCACATCTGCCAAGATGATTCAATACAAGTCCATTCACGACATTTCTTGGCCCAAGCCCTCCAACAGACCCCATCTCGTTCAGCGTAAAAACCAACGTCCGTACCATGACTCACAGGCCCTCCAGGGCCTGGCCTCACCAGTATACCTCTGTCCTTACCTCTTTCCACTGCCCCTTGTTCACTCCCTCCCAGCCATGCTGACCCTCTCATTTCATGGCTGGGCCAAGGTCCAGTGCCTAAGGTGCTTCCCATGAAACCCTTCTGTGGCTTTTCAACACTGGAACCTCATAAAGAATTTCAAAGATGTTCTCCGTGACATGAGGCCAGTCGCCTGCAGTTGTTCTAACCACAGTATGTTGTGGTGCAGAAGTGGCCAGCACAGCCCAGACTGACCTCCTGAGGTGAGGAAGGGAGGCTGAGCACTGTCATGCACTGGAACTTGGAAACAGAAGGTGGTCCCAGCCAGGTGACACTTGCTCACACTGCCCTCCAAGCTAGTTCCACAGTGGTACTTAGTGCACGCATTAGCAAAAGCCTAAAACACCAAGCATTTTCTATTTCATACTCAGCTAAGAAAAAGTGAGAGAGATCATGGAAGCTATTCTAGACTAAAATCCATGTAATTTCTCCACATCTCCTGCCTCCACAGCTGATCTGTTTGTGTATCCAACAAAAATAAAAATGTGCCCCTTGTCAAACAGAGCAATTACTTGAGCTGTGGACCCAAGCCACCTATTGCCTGTCCTGTCCCAGGTTGATCCTTGGCCTCTGGGTACAGTTCAGCTTTGTCTCCTCTATGATCCTGAGAAATCTAACTCTGCCCCCAAACCTGCATATCTCAAACCTGAGTGAATAAGACCCGCCTTCTTCAGAGTTAGATGAACATCTGTAGTGGCCGCCACTAGAAGTGCTTCTCCCCACCCGTACTCCACCCCAAGCCACTCACCATTCCTTCCACCCACAAAGACTGACCTCATGGGAAGGAGGCTGATAGGTAGGCTCCTCCCAAAGCCTTGTATTCCTGAGTGCTCACTATAAATTTGAGTCCCCCAGCAAGGCCTGGCTCTGTGCAGAGATGTTGAGTAAGATGTGCAAAGAACATCGCTGGCTGAGAATGACCCTTCTTCCCATCACCAAGACTCCTGGCTCCTGGCAGCTGTGCTGCCCAACACAGTTGCCATGAAAACCTCAGCCCCTCCTCTGGCCCAAGTACCTTGTCAGTGACCCCTTTTTGCCAAGGGGACAAAGCCCAGTTTCTTCTGAAAATAGAGTCAGGATTCAACCAATCCTGAAACTGCCAGCCAGACAGAATTATCTGAGGCCACATCAGTAACTGTACTATGGTTCATCCTGATTTCAGATCGGACATACCAGCATTGGGAAAAATAAACCAAATCTGAAATACATTTTGAATTCAAAATCATCTATGGGGCATTTATTTAAAATATGGTTATTCTGGCTGGGCACAGTGGCTCACACCTGTAATCCCAGCACTGTGGGAGGCCGAGGTGGGCAGATAACCAGAGGTTGGGAGATCGAGACCAGGCGGCCAGTATGGTGAAACCCCGTCCCTACTAAAAATACAAAATTAGCCAGGCGTGGTGGCGCATGCTTGTAATCCCAGCTACTCAGGAGGCTGAGACAGGAGAACCGCTAGAACCCCGGAGCCAGGATCACACCATTGCACTCCAGCCTGGGCAAGAAAAGCCAAATTCTGGCAAAAAAGAAAGAGAAAAAATAAGCATACATACACATACACACACACACACACACACACACACACACACGGTTATTCTAGGCTCCTAATTCAAAGAGGATATCTTTCATCTTTATGATTAGGCAGCGGGTACATGACAAGTTTCTCTTTCAGGTACTGGGCTTAGCTAAAGACAGCATGTAGCCTGAAGTGCAGGGCAAAGATACTACAACCCAAAGACCTAAAGGAAATAATGATCAGGTTGCAACAGCTGCTAGCAACCTAGTGATCTGAATGCTAATTACTTTTCATTATTTAAAGGAAAAGTCATGGGACATTTTAAGAGATGATTCATGCTACAAATATGTGTTCACTTGGTATTTTTACTGTTAGCCATATACAATCTTCATGAGGACATTTCATGACTTTTTCAGTGACTTTTCATATTAATATAAATATAAAAAGTTTGTTTCCTTCCCACCTCCCAGGAAAAAGTATAGAACAAAAATTCCGGAATAGTTTTTTTTAAATAAAGAAGTGTACATAAATGAAGAATTCCAGGAAAATCTCAGAGTTGAAAGTTCTGTTCCAACCAAATGGCATTTTTGTTTTGTTTTGCAATTTGGGAACTGAACCCAAAGCTATTAATATTTCTACGTGGCCTCTGCTGCTGTAAATGTAAATAGAATTCCTGGTGGCTGAGTTCTCTGGCTTCTCGCTGACCTCTGAAAGAGCAGTTGTTCCTTCCTTGGCTCTCAGCCCTTAAACCACTGCAAGGACGGGTGCATGGGATGAAGTGCTGGTGTTGAAGGGGAATTGCATGCTCTGTAAGACAAT